TAATATATTTCTGCATGTGCAGGTACACACCGTTTTTACAGGCATGATCTATAAATTACAACATTTGTTGGTTCACAAAATGTTTCCCAACTTATTAAGTTTATAGTTGTTATAAAGTGAAATCGTAGAGAGCTTGCTGTAAACTATGACCTTGAGAGGACGCGTACATCAAGTTTGTTCCAAACGTCAGAAGTTTCATAGCCGTGCTCTCAGAGCCAGATTCTGAAGAAGAAAAAAAGAAACAGAAGAGCAGCAAAGCACTCTGATATGAACGCCAAACGTTGCTTAACATAGTGTAGTAGAACGGACAGAGGTAGAATAAATTAGAATAAATTCATATTATGTCTTGTTAGTGAAATGAAGTCAGAGGCTCTATATTATAGAATGTACTAATAAAGAACAACGAGTTGTGATGTTTAACAAGTTGGAGTAAGCTCACATGAAGGAAAGGAAGTCAAGGCTGGTACAAGGAAAGCGGTTTATTAGAAGGGTGTGTATATAGAGGGTGAAGTGTTAAGAATATTAACGACTACATCTTTTATTGTCTAACTTTTTTTCTTTTTTGTCTTTCCGATGCCAGCCACACAATCCTAGTGTAAAAATCCGAGTTAGCATGTTATGGGTTGTCCTAGTAGAATAGCTAATCCAGCATAATATTGGAAACATGAGTTTGAGTGGTGAGCGTAGGAAAACAATCTATATCACAGATTGATTGAATTATTCTCAGTCATGAGGAGCCTGATACATACAAAATGTTCTGTCCCCACAAACATGGGTGGATTGAAGTTATCGCCCTCACCATCAATGCTTGCTGGTCAGTAATTCCACCCTCCCTCCTTTTGTGATGTTAGGCTCATTTAGCATTATTTTTGTATATACGTCATACCTCGCACAATCCTCTGTTTCACAAACTGTTGGAAAGCACTATTTCTATAAATACCATTTTACAAGCTTATCAGACAGTTACAAGTTATGGACTGTGGGTAAAGCATCGATGCAGTGCCTCTGTTGACTATAGTATAAAGTATAGTTTGCCAATCAAAGTATAAGCGTTAAGAAGGGTATATTGTAGGATAGTTGTTTATTTAAGCAGGCGGAAAAAGTATAGAAGTATATGAGTTGTGGATAAGTGAACGAGTGGAGAAATAATAATAATTGCTAGCCAACATAGTGTACTGAAGAGTAAAAAGTTAATACAGGATAAACAGGAAGGGATGCCACGAACTTATGGTATTGAAGCTGATCTATTCACGCAAAATACCTCTTTAAGTCGTGTTACGAACGTTGAATTGGTTTCACTTCCTACCTAGAAATCCTATTACAAGCAAACTAGACAATTCGCTAATATACGAAGCATAATCAAGACCCTATAATAACTGGGGGAAAAATATTTAAAAAAAAACGAAATAGGCTCTAATAGCTTCGATATTAAAGGGAAGACAGCCAAATGTATATCACAATACTGTTTCTAGCACTATATTTTATTTTATAATCACACATAATCTTATACTCTCAGCTCTTTTCTGAATCGCCCCCATTTGTCAGTTGTATGTCCACTCACACCTTGTCAACACTTATTTTCTATAACCTATTAAAATGCTCTTTCTTAACATATACCTTAATAAAGGAAAATTAGACTGAGTAATCATACCTTAAGCATTCTTTCATGAATATTGGCTACTCTGCCTCTCGTGTTTTCTTTTACTTGCTCCCTCTTTCAGCCCCCTTGAGATATGGAACTGGTGACTTCATCCTGCACCATCCTTGAAGCCTTGGATATCCCAGAAGGAAATAAGGTTGCGATTTTTAGAAGCCCATACCTTCAATGGACCTATTCTTGACCATCAGTCGCACATTCGCAACGCGACTTTCATGAAGCGCGCCAACTGTAGTACTGATTTAAACCATCGACATTCATATCTTATAAATTATCAACCCAGCTATGTAATTTATTGCAGTGTATATTGTATCATTTGTATCAATTTGATCTTGCCTGTAAACTGGCATGCCTCATGTAACAAACTGTTATTTGAGAATAAATTATTATTATTATTATTATTATTATTATAAGGGACTCACAGTAACTTGGTGTTGATGTTATTTTCTGTTGTCCTAACCAGTTGATTGGTAACAGGCTCCATAGATGACTATCGTACTCGATTTCGGCAGTTGGCTTCCTGTAAATGACTCCGACTAGACACCACAAAGTACTAGACAATCTTACAGAGCACCATATAGATTTTTCAAGATTGTTAAACTCGATGTTATGAACTTGGTGCACCTCCAAGCAAGAACGTATGTAAACAGCTACTCGGCCCCCAATTCCTGATTTTCTGTCATTGCGAAACAAAGACATCCTATGTAATGCTAACACATGGTCCGAGAACTGAGAAGATATCCAAGTTTCAGATATTCCTATCAGATGAGCCTTATTAGTATTGCTGAGTTCACGTAGCTCATCCAGTTTGTTTGGTAGACTCGTGGCGTTCATATATAAGCGGTTTATGCTTTCAATTTGGAATGCGTGAGCTTCGTCTTGTTTGTCTGTATGAGGCGTACGTGAATGGACAGGTAGCTCACCTATATGAGGTTTGCCGAGGTGGTAGGTCCTGTCCTTTGCACGTTTTATTATCGTCTAGACAGTCCACAAGTGGAATGGTCAGCTCCAACTTGCCTTTGTGTTTGGTCCTAGCTTCGTATGGCCTATCCGGATGCATGTGGATTCCAGGTGCCAGTCGACGTCTGTTGGCACGAAATGCTTCCAGATTTGCAACCGCCATATGGGAGGATGGAAAGGTTATCTTCATTAGACGGGGTCTAGAATCACCATCCTTCTTGGCTAGTCTCGTCACATGCTGAGTCAGTATGTGTTTGAGCCTCAAAGACAGTTTGATGTATTTCCGTTCCCTGATGTCAGTTTTTGATTGAGCAGGGTCCGTATTTTCCGGTATACCTTTGGGGATGTTCCGGATGAGATTACGCTCAGAATACAGTATGTCAGGCAATATTCTTACATTCCCATCTGATTTCAGTAAGTGACTCGCTAATAAAACATCCTCTACGTCGGTAGCATTCTTAAGCGTTACACGAAGTAGCCTCAGATTCCTTTCCCTGAGTGAGCCGTGTGACTGTCAAAGGCTCTATTCTTGGAAGTCCAAGTTCCTTGTTCAATTCTCCCCAGAGCATCCTACCATTTTCGTCCTGCGAACTGAGAGGAAGGTCAGGGTTGTCTTTGAAGTTCATCACCATGAGAGAGTCATCAAAAAAAGTTATCGTTGTCCCAGGTTTTCTAGTGCGTTCAGGTTTAGCACCTTGTTGTTTAGGGGTCGAAGCACGTTTATGAATCCTTGGCTCTTTGATGACCGGACGAACAATCTTGGGGTAGACTGTGCTACCGGATCACCAGTTGACTTCCGTTCAACAGCTGGGACGTTCAACTTCGACTGTGACGCCTGGCCTTCTTTTAGCTCTTTGACATGGGCTCAATCACCTACAGAGTTTGTGGGAACCACTGTCGCGTTCAAGGACCTTGAGCTGTAAGACCCGAGTTTGCTGAGGGAGTCGAGTACCGTCGTCATAACCATGGCGCTGAGTTTCAGCTAGTCATCATTAATGCTGTTGCGTGCTCCGTCGTTGGTAGACCTGTCGACATCCCTTTTCTCGTTTGCAATGCGCTCTCTTGTTTGTCTACCCATTTTCGACTGTCTTTTCCTCAAGTTCGCCGGCAACTTGCTCTGCAGACCTGTCAGTAGGACAATGATATTACTCAGCAAGGCTGCAGCATCCATGCTGCACTTAACACATTCCCACTTATGGTCCGACTTCCTAAGTCTGTTCTAAGCAATTGCTGTGAGATCTGTGCACGCTTCGTGGAACCAACCTTTGCAGTTGTCGCACTGCATGCCAGACGTAACAGCAAAACGGCATTCAGGTCGTTTGCATGAATTTTTCATGACTGTATTAACGTAAACAGTGTTGTAGATGCTAGCAAAAGCCTAAAACCATAAGAAAATACACTAAAAAGCACACTGAAAACGGACAAAAGTGGATAAAACGGATGAGATAAACTGAACTAGTCTTTACTTGAAAAACTGGAAAAAAAACCGAATAGTAAGCTGAGGCAAAACCACAGTTAACTATTAAACTGGGTGAAACTCAAAAAAAGTGATCTACCGAACGTATAGCTCAGGATAGATTTTTTTTGGTCAGAAATGGTACTTTTGTTGCGTAAGAACACAGCAAAAGTTTGATAAATGTAAATCACCTTAGAACTAAACTTCCTGTTCGAAAAGTGCGGTCACATAAGCATATAGGCACAAAAATAAGAAATGAAAAGTTAATAGTACTGAGCTAAAACTATATCTGTGTCTGCGAACCAAATAAATCAAGATCCTATTTCTACCATGATCTTAGTTGCTGTAAGGAGACCTTTCTGAAAGGATTGGAATGAAATTACTCCTTCAGAATTTGAAACGTGAAGAAGTTACATAAGGGGAACTTCTGGGACAAAAGTGGTCAACACATTTAAAATCAAAAGATTAAGTCATAGAAAATATTCCATAAATGCAACTCCGCTAATTACCATCAATTACCTTGTTTGTCTTACTACTACTGCGAGGAAACTGTAATCAATCATACCATGAGAATTCATCTCATCGAGATGTCGAATTCGTGGACCAAATCGAAGAATTATATGTGAAAACTCCAAAATATCGTCTATGAAGTTCTTTAGATCCTAACAACTCCGTTCTTATATTGTACAGCACAATATAGCCCTGGATTCACTATCAAAAGATAGCTAAGTAGAAACTTTTGATATTACGAAAGGTTAAGAAGTAAGGTGAATTAAATGAAGCTCCTGAAAGGTCGGTGTCACGAATACTAAACCGCTATTGAAAAATAAAATTTCCGGAGTCGACGAAAGCGTAAGAAGCGTAAGAAGAGCTTGAATTTATTGATATTTTCAATAGTTGTTTTAATAATCTAAAATAGTGTATATTATTCTTTTACCGTGTTCGAATGGTGACAACCATTAGACGAAAGGTATGTCTCGCTTTGTCTTAAGTTATGTAATAAGTCATATAAAACCAACTGACTGAAATCGTTTAGCGCCTTGTTATACTTAAGTGCCTCAAATTCACATGGTTTATTTCACAAGTAAAGTCAGTTCATTAAAAATTTTACATATTTCTTTTATATAACATTTGTTTTGCTTCTTATAAAAAATTTTTTAAGACTTAATCTAATTTTGAAATAATGTCGTCATTGAATTTTAGATATGCTGATTTGTAGTATTAAGTTGGTCGGAATCAACGTATAACAAAAATTTCTGGAAGACCACGTGTTTTGATCAAATTTACATATTTACATATCAAATTTACATGTATATTAGAATTTAGGTTCATTTCGCTGTTTGAATCAGAATTTATACTTATGATCTGTTTAGCAGCCTATGGATGTTTATGTGTAAATTTCTTCGTTCTATCTACGTTTTTATTATTGAGTTGAAGTCGATTATTCACCATTTAAGTTTTATTTTTAACTGGATGTTTTGAAGATAAGAAATATGATGGCTTACTAAAAGGAACGTACGAATTTTTTTTTCAGTTGTAGGCTAGTTTTATCCTACGTAGTATGTAAACTGCATCTACTATCTAGGTGTTAACTACTTATATCGTATACAAACACGAGGGAATTTATGTTTTTCATTAATGGAAGAATTCCAATTAACTGTTTCTGGTTGACCATTAAAGGCCTATTTTAGACAAGTTTATCTTTGGTAAACAGCTCTTTCGAACTCTTTGCGATAAATAACAAACTTTGTCTGTACTATGTATTCATGTTGCAGATCACTAACGTAGATAATTCATGTTAAATCATTAGGGGCCTACTCAAGCTATACGGGGATGGTTTGACAAACAAGTAATGTCGAAGCCACACCTCTCGGTCAACATCTGACGTTGACTACCTCTTCAACGTAACAAAATACTGTGAGTTATTTGAAGACCTTACAACACAAAGGACGCTATTACAGAAATATATTTGTTAGAGTAGGTACAAGCGAAAGTGCGGTCTCCACCCCATGACCAGTCTATGGCATAGGATTAATTGATGCGCGTTTGTTGCCCTGGGCTTGATGAGAATCGATGAACTGTTTGATATTCACTGACCTGACTGTCTGATTGTTTGGTTACGGCTCAGTGACATTTCACTGGCCCTGGAATGTTGTACTTGAGTTTTCGAAATCGACTCCTCTTTTGGGTATCACTTTATACAGCATTGTAAACCAATGTAAAGGATGCATAAATAAGTGTAAAATGTCCCAGGTCTTTTGACTAAGGGATACTTATGCTTATTGTTTGAACAAACTCTTAACATGTGATAGAATATTAACGTTTTTCACAGTAATAATTACAAGAAATAGTGTGAAATATCATTTGTCATTGAACAACAAATATTTTTGTAGCAGCGAAAAATGAACTCTCCTTGACCTAATTCATATTATCAGTTATGGTTGATGACCTGTTTGTGATGTATTTTATACTCTTTTATATTGATTTATGGCGTTTTATTTTTGGTAAAAAATTTCGTCTGAGTAGTATCCGTGAATGAAATCATGTGGTTACGAATCCAAGTTTCAACTATTTTACATACAAACCTACAAAAGCCTTTATGTAAAGTTTTAGGCTTGTTTGATTACACTTTTTTAAACAGTTTGTATTCCAAAATTACACGAATTTTATTTTCGAAATGCCGGGTGATCAATGTTCAGTTTTACTGTTATTATCTGGGGAATAGAAGTAGGTTCACTGGCAAGTTTATTGTTTTTCACTGAACAATATAGTTGGAATATTTATCACGAGATTTAGGCCAATGCTTTTGATGACTTTGTTTCGGATTAGATTTAGAAGAGGTTTAGAATGTCCAGACAAAGACTTCAGGACATTTCTGAGAATAAAAGAATGTAGCACAACAGGCCAAAAGTCTTGAAATATTTCCGGTTGGTGGTTACAGACTATTTGTCGGCTGACTTACAATTCGATAACCATATTGTTTGTCTTCAAATTGTAAATGACGAATTATTTCACGTTCGAAGTCTAATCTTATCCTGCTTTTACACCTGGTTTGGTATGTTTTTTAGTGCATTCTCAACAGCTTTGGCTGTCATTGAAGCATCATGAATAGGTTCTTACTGATGTGCTTTCCAAATAAAGCACAAAATGTTTACTTTTCTTTTCAAAGTAATACACTCCGCACTCTCTTCAGTATGTATGTGAATACGTGAAGAGCATTAATGTTATTAGTTAAAATATGCATATTGCTGCAGTTCTAAAACCTTTCTGTATCTGTAGGTGCCCTGATAATTGACCTTTGTGTAATAATGAGAAGGAATAATTAGAACATCAGCTTTCAGAAATAAAGGTTTTATCTTAATTTTCGATTGATATCAAATAAAAAGCGGCACAAAAGTAACTGATATTGATCTAAACACTTCGATCACTGAAATAAGCAACTATTACACTGCAGAAAATGTATTTCAAACATTAAAAGTTAGCAATATGATATCTTAGATCATGATGCTTTATTATTTATTGAAGTAGTAAAAGTGAAAAATTGTCTCTACTTAAATACAAAACTACATTTCATTTGAATATCGCTCACATAAAACTAATCTATTGTGGTAGTTTGAAAAAATATCGTCTAGTACTATGACGGTGATGGACAGTGTAGCTTTACTTGAACTACCACTTCTCAATATTTCAATAATCACCCAAACTTTATTTATTAAGTTGAGATATTTCAAACGTTCAATAGTATTATTCAAAGGAAAGTAATTCTACTTACTTAAAGGTATGGGATATGAAATACTCGTTTAAAAGTGCATAGACAAGCTTAATAACGCATATAAGAATAATTAGCCTGACTATCAACAATCACGATATAGGTGCTTATAATTTATTTTTTCCTTGCTTTAGTATCTGAATTTTATTGTTATATTTTAATCAGACATAAATTAAAATAAAAAAGTGTTGCCTTTGTTCTCTTCAAATGAGTTTAAATATGGTTGATACACAACTTTCTAACAGTAAGTTTTTAGTTGGTCATTCTTATTGAACTAAACACTGATGAATGATAAATATGATTATGCTGAAGAGTAATTTTTGGAGTAAACATATTTATAGCTGGTGTTTGCTACTGCAAGTGCGAAGAGGTTTTAATAACCATGGTAACGATAACACTATTGAACGACATTGGAAAGGCATTAAGCACTGACAGCTCTTTCAATTGCCCTGTGAGGTACTAATTAATCTTCGTGATGTCCAGAATCTACTAATTATCTAGCACCTATGCTATCGAAATTGTTTAGCACTTTCAAAAATGAAGTTTATGGAATATTTTGAAGAATCTTGAAAATGATCTTCAAATGTATTAGATTTGGGAGTTACATGCACATTATAAGTGCAATGGTAGGGAAACCTATTTTTATTTAATAATGTCAATAAATAGGCCATTTATAAAAATGCGAAAGGTCATTAGTACAACCTTTCATGATTGATAACTGTTTAATTATTCTTTTGTTACGATGTTATTATCATCACCTTTACTTTAAGAGATTCCTTTTTATTGTATTTGAAAAGATTTTTAAGTTTTATTTCAGACGGTTTTTAACAATAATTAGTTGAGTCATCAATCCTACAACTGAAAACATGTTTTGGCTTATCGATAATGGCTTAAACAGTAATTATCTGTTTTTAAAGACACTGCATTCTATAGGCCAAACGGTTTGACTGGGGAAGTTCAATCTTTGTTCAAGACTGTATCGTCACTGTCTAATCAAAGTAAAAGAAAGCTTTATTAATTCGTTGCACATGTGCTAATTCAGTCAGCTCTGGTGACCTTATTTTCAACTAGCTTCTTTCATTGGTCATATGATAATTATTTGTTTTTGAATTCACAAGAACTACTTTCCTCGGTTAACCTTTGATCGTCTGATACTGAGTTACGTAAACAATTAAAAACATAATTCGTTTTGGAAGGTGAATGAAATCTTGGTTGAACAAGCTCAAAAAATTCTTAAAAATTTCCATAACTCTGACATTCAGATAAATCCCTAATCAAGACACATTATGGCACATCCAAGTTATTCACTCATACAGATAAGATTAAGGATTTATATAGTCGGAAGTTAACCTAACAAAACAGTTACCATGAATTCCATGACAGATTATGATTGTAAAACCAGCGAGAACAGACCGTTACAGACAAACCTATGAGAATAAATTGGTTTAAAACTTGTACAATTATTGTACATAGCTCTTTTTTAAGTGTAGCCGGAGATAATGATGATATTCAAAGTACTGATAAAAGCCTCTCGATCAAACAATCAAGTTCAGAGAATAAAACCCTATTAAAAGGTTTCAATTGAGCTAATAATCGTGTCGATCATTTTTACAGAGTCTTCTGAGATGACAGTTACTTACTTTTAAGACTACTTATTATATAAGTCAGATTCACTTTATAAACATAATCATAAACATAATGATAAGATTGTTCTTATGATAAACTACCACTGAGGAAAGAAACGTTCGATTCTCACCATGTTACAGAAATTATTCAAATATATGGATAGTGTAGTGATCAATAGACAGAAGAACTTCAAACTAATATTTGTTTCTTTTTATTAAAACCAAGTTTATTTATATTAAGATAGCTTTCATGTTTAACATACGAGAATTGACAATGTAAGTACAAGAACAGTCGAATCAAAATGACTGATCTAAGTTTAATTCTTAAAAAAATATTACCAGTGGATATATTGAATTGATGTTCAGTCAGTCAATCAGTAACAACGTAGAACTTCGTACGTACGTACATCAGTTCGAGTTGCCATACCACATTAGCACATAGATCCAGTTGTCGATTCAAATCCCATAGTGGTAGAGCTAGTAAGAGTATAAGCAGTAATCCGGAAGATTAGGGTTTGGAGATGTTATTTAGAGAGTATAATCCAGTAAAATAACTTTGGGAGGAGAAAAAGAGACCAGGAGGAATCACGAGATTATAATTTGGGAGAACATGAAGAGTGGATGCATCTGCGTCGTTGCGAAGGATTTTGAGTCATATCATTCAGGGTCTCTAACCATCGGTTGCTATCATCTCGCGGTCCTCAACCAAGTAGTCTACACCTACCAACATGACTCAGTCCACTTGTCAGTGACTTCATGGACTTGTGCCATGTTTTGATGTTCAGACAAACCATCATTACAAATTTTAGATCAAATTTTTAAAAAAGAAATACCTATCCAAAAATTGATTATCAGTAGTTTAGTAAAATATTTAACTGAAAATTCAATCAAATTAATAAATCGAATAAATAATTCACTTAATTTCCCATAGTAAATACAAACATTTGATTCTTCTTATTTTTATATTCATGGTTCCAGAACGTTAATAATAAAGTCTATTATTACCTAGCCGAACATGCCGTGTGGACCTGTAATAAAGAAATTTCAATATTGTTTCTTTTTCTTCTTCTTCTTTCTGAGTTATTCTATTGAAAAAGGTCACTTGTTTTTTTCATTTGATTGATTGATTGACTGATTAATAATGAACACTCCTTCACTCTTCTTCTTTTTTTGTTTTTGAGTTGTTTAGCACATTTTTTCTTTTTGCATTATTTTACAATTTTCTCACATATTATGAGATAAAAGAAGTGAATTTATCACACCGTTTTTTTGTTATAAAGAAAAGAAAATGTCACAATGTATTTAGAAATTTACACGTCATAATAGTTTATTGTAAATAAGTGTTCCGTTCTCGTAATAATGATAATAATAAATTGTTTTTATTTAATTATATCATAGTGTATCTTTTATTTATTATCTTTAAGAAATATTCATAATTTCATATTTAAGTAAAACTGTTACAATATCCAACATTGATAACTCATTAATTTTCAACGGATCGTGTTCATTATTTGAGTTTTTCTCAATCTCAATAGTTGAGATCATGAGTCAATTAAAGCTAGACCATCATGGAAAACCTAGCAGCACTAGACAGTCATTTTGTCCTATTGTGGGACTCCTTACCAGTGTGCATCCACGACCCCACCTCGCGGGATTCGAACCCAGGACCTACTGGTCTCGTGGGCGAGCGCTTAACTACTGAGCCGGCATCTAATCATTTTTATGTGCAAAAATTGATTTTATTGATTTTCCAGATTTCTTTATTTGAAGACTTTAAGATAACTGTACTGTTTTTTGAATATAACCACACATCTTATCATATCAGTATTTATTCAGGTGAATAGAAATTATTAACGCTTTGTCAGTATATAATGAAGATTGGTCGACCAACCGTATACTACTTATAACCTGGAACATTTGTACATTCGTTCAAGTTAACATGTTATGTTAGCATAGAGAAATGCCAGAGTTGTATAAATAGTAACAGCATCAATGATAGTAGAGACGTTTAAATGCAGACATTTTGATAGAGAAACAAAATACGAATTCATGGAACAAAATGTATGAAATGATTTTGGAACTTTGAATGTCAGATGAAACAAAGAGTGAATAAGCTAAACTTATGAATTTGATTCTCAGCCATATTAACTAATATTTTTAACCTATAGTTATGGTAATTATTATTTAGACCCTAACAAGGTAGTGTGTCATCTATCAAACGATATACTTTAACCGTCAATGATTTAATGAACTAATCCCCAGTCTTGATATCATTAAACTACAGTAAAAATACCTTGTATCTACTATAAAGCAATTTGTATATATTTTTAAAAATTTTTTTTACTTTATTATCTAATTGTGATTTAATATGATCCATAAATTATCCAACTTATCATGTGTTGAATTCATTTTTAACTTAAATAGAATAGACATTTTTTTCTTTTCAAGTATATTCAATTGAATCTTTTTGTTTCTCCTTTATACTTTAAATAGAAATCACATTCATTTTCATTCATAAAAGTTCATCATTATAAAATAAAAGAAAAAAAAAAGAAGAAAAGAATAATCTTAACTAACATCCTGTTAACATTTAGATGAATATAAATATTTTCTACTTAAATTCAACTATAATAACACATGAGTAAAATATTTCTATAATATCAGGTCATGGAAATATAAATATCTTACATATACATGTAGATATATGCACTTTTTTTCTTTTATAAAAAAAACAAAATAGTGAATCCTTATTTAAAACAATATCCATAGTTTATATATATATATATATATATATATATATATATATATATATATATATATATATATATATATATATATATATATATATATCTTTCTTACATAATTTAAAACTCTTACCAAGGTTTGACTTGATAATTTTCAATAATCAATATAGCGTTATGGAGATTATTAAGTTATTGATCGATATCATATGTTCAATAGTGATTAGGTTCATGAGGGAATTCTCAAAGTTCTAGTGACAAGCTATGACCAGTGGAGCTAATCCGTGTCAGGTAGATAGAGGTATCTATCGCAGTACAATGGAAGATGAATTGGTTGAGGTTAGACATTAGTAAGTTGAGCATTCGCGCGCGATACTGAATGCCCTGGGTTCGAAACCCGTAAGCGAAATCGTGGGTGCGCACTGCTGAAGAGTTCTACAATATGACAGAAAGGCCTTCCAGTGGTTCCAGGTTTCATCAATCGGTTCATGATATCAATAAATAATTTCGGATAAATTAAGTACTACATAGATTGTTATAAACTAATATATTTGCAACGTTTTATTGAGTATAAAGAAGTTCGATTTTCCGACGTTTCGTGACTCGATGTAAGCTACTTCTTCAGAGAATAAATAACCAAATCAAAATTAATCCAATTTTAAATAGTAAAACTGAACAACAAGAATATTATATGATCAATCTAAAGTTTTAGTTTATATTTACATTGAATCATGTTAACTTTAAGAAAATTTCTAAATAAATAAAAGTGGATAATTACAAGCTTTTTTTAAAAAAAACATTTTTTATTGGTTAACACCTAAGTCAATTTTTATTGACTTATTGGTTTCATTCAGTGTAAATAACATTGAAGTTTCAAGATTACAGAAATCATACTCACTTGCATTATGCTCAGTTAACAACTTGTTATGCACAGTTGTATGATATACCCTTGTGGGCCAGGGTAATTTTACATTGGTTTTCAGCAGAATCAGACATCATCCAGATTTTCACGTGACAACCCAAGCAGTACAGCTTAATCCCGTCTAACAAGAAAACCAGGTAGCATATAGGCTTTAACGCGACAATCTGAATAATACAGCTCAATCCTGTGGTACCATGTACCTTGGAACTTGTACTAAGTTTATATTATAAATGAATGGAATAATTAATTATTTTAAGTGTATGATTCTTAATCAATTCGTGAATAATTTTTTTGAATATTCATGTACACAACTGTAGTACTAAAAGTTAATTATAACGTATAAAAGTAATTGTAAATTCTGTTAAATGATAATAAAAATGAACTACTCTAAACTGTATTTTTCAAATTATAGATACCTTTGATCTTGGAGAAATTAAAACTAACAAAACTATGCAATCAGAATTATTAACTCCTCTTCAAAATGACACAAAAGACAAGTTTGTAAATCACAATAATAATAATAGTAATAATAACAACAATAATAATAAACACCTGATTGTACTGCCGACAAACAAACGACCTTCATCTAAAATGAATTCTAATTCTCATAAACCGGTCATTTTGAACAATAAGCCTGATCACATAAATCACTCAGAACAAAATAATGACAGTACAAAAGATTTATTATCTCCTGGTGATTTAGTTAAAGATAGATGGAGAGTTATATGTAAACTAGGAGGAGGTGGTTTTGGTGAAATATATGAAGCAGTTGACACGAAATTAAAACATGTACAACATTCATCATCTACATCATCAACATCATCATATTATAATGAATCACAGTCAAATTTGAAACGTTACCATCCAGAGTATTCACTGTGTTTAAATTGCGCAACAAACAACACTCTAAACATAGCGGTTAATTCACCACTCAGTGGTCAAAATGGTTCTAATGTAATAAAACTGAAACACGATATTGGCTCAGATAGTGGTATCGGTGGTGTACAAGCCTTTTCATCAGATACACAAATTCAACATGGTACTAGAATCAACTCAGCTGGTACAACTACATCAGCTTCGTTATCTTCTCGTCGTTGCAACGAAAATAATCCTAATAAAAATAACCAAGAAGATGGTCTTATACATTTAAAATCATCAGCAACTAATAACTATCCTTATTTACATAAGATAAACTCACAAGATTTCAGTGCGAGTAATGCATCAACTCCAAGGGATTCAAGTCAAACTGGTAATCCTGACAAAAAAAGTATGTGTATCAATTGTAAGTGTGAATTACCGCAGAGATTTATTGAAAAATTTACATTGAACAATAAACATGAATCGAATGGAATATCCACTGACTCCGGAATTTCCAGTATAAATGAAGTTTACGACTATCGTGTAGCTATTAAAGCTGAATCTAACCGTCAAGCTAGACAAGTACTAAGAATGGAAGTGGCCGTGCTACGCCGTCTTCAAGGAAAATCGAATATATGTCGTCTGTTTGGTTGTGGAAAGAACGCGAAATTCAATTACATGGTCATGACTTTACAGGTAAGTGGATAAAAAATTAAACAATAATGTATTTATCAATCTCTATCTAAAATATAAGTGGGTAAGGAAAGTTATTTATCGAGGACTAATTTAACCATTGAATTTTGGTATTGGAGAATGATTTATACCATCGAAAGATCGTAGTTAGACTACTATTGAAAACCTTACAGTACCAAATGGCCATTTTGTCTCAGCAGCGCGCATTCCCTACCCTGCACACGGTAACTGAACGTGCGACCTTCGGTCTCTCACGCCAACGCTTAGCCACCAGACTATGTCACACCCAACACGGATCGAACTCCTTTGGTCACGGCTTCTCAGTAGAACTCCTGGAATTACTTCTTGAATATAGTGACTATTAAACACATGATTGTTATTAGTATGGGGATTTGTGAAGATTTAATTATTTACACAGTTGAAATCACAAGTCCATCTGAGCTAGAGCACCATATCGCAGGATGATCAATGGTTAAAAATAATCAGTGTTGTTATTCATAGCGTCAAGTTTGTTTGGATCTAAATGACTAATAAAATCGAATGAAGAAATGAATTAATCTTTACGATTCGAAATGTTACCCTAACGAGTATTCATATCACGGTAATTTTAGATGTTTCAACAAAGAATTGGTAAAATAAGCAACTATCGCTGAATCAGTACAGACATAATAATTCAGGCCGAAATCACACTACGTTATTCACTGCTCGGTGGTTAATTGGGGTCACTTCTCAAGTCCTTCAGGAAGTCCTAATATCTCAGAGGTAGGATTTTTGACTGTAAAAGCGCTTAACACGGGTTTAAATCCCACGAGCAATTTCATTTCCGTAAGATCAAAGATATGCCTAGCTAAAAATTGCCAACTATAACAAATTCCAGTCAGTGTAGTTTTGGCAATCTCCTTCTACCACCTACCATTTTTAGGTTTCTAATGTCGACAAGATAAAGGGACTAACATGTATTGTTCTTACTAAGGGAAGAAAGCCAGATCAACATCTTGACGTTATTGACTGACTGACTGCTTAATTAGTTTATCAAATAGAGTAAAGTATCATCAAAAAAGTAATTTTGGGAAAGGGTGAGAGAAGACAGTAGTGTGGTTTGGTATGTACTAAAACATACAAAACATAGGGAAAGTGAGTCTGCACCACGGGTATCCATTTTAATTTCTACATGGCATCTCATTGTTAAATAAAGACAATATTGAAAATACAAATGATTACAAAGTATTAGTCAGAGATAAAGATGTGGAAAGCGATTAAAATAGTTTTCAGTGCATATATGCGTAATCAAATAACTTGAGAAACTATGTTCAAGGTTAACGAATGGATGATGAATATGTATTCGTGTGTATACATTTTGAGAAATTTCTATATTAATTAAGTTGGAGTTAAGAAGTCAGGTTTCAGCTTCATTATTTAGAGTAGATAGATTGTGGTTAGCACTGATAACCAGAACACATGTCTTATTCAAGACTTTTTAGATGAACGTCCATGCATTCCACTGCTGATATTCACATTGGGACTCCAAATCAGCGCCTTTCGCTTCAATAAACCGACCGTGTTATCCTCACAGAGCGCATATATATCAGCAGGCAATAATCGAAATTCAGTCCAAAATGCCAACAATGGGATGATTTTCATGATAGTGATGTTTGGGGTTAAAACACTTCATGATGTATCTCAATCAACCTTAAAGTTCGACTTTCAACAGAACTTCATGAGTTTTATCAATAGTATTTATGATTCGCTCTTAAATATGAAGATGCATAATATACTCACTTATTTACTTACGCCTGTTACTCCTCATGGAGGAGCACAGACCGCTCACCAGCATTCTCCATCCAACTCTGTCCTGGGCAATCCTTCCCAGTTGTTTCCAGTCGCTATTGATTCTGAATTATATAACCTTACCGAATTGACATAACTTTCTGTACGGAAGTAATTTTATAGTAGTCAGTTTCTATTCAGTCACTTACTGCACTTTAATGTTTATATATATATATATATATATATATATATATATATATATATATATATATATATATATATATATTGTTTAGATGAAATATCTAGTAAAAGTTGAAAAGGGCTACAAATGTATGAGAATGTGAGTGTGAAACAGGGTTTCTAATTGTAACGAATATTTTTTAATTATTAAAATGGTTAGTTGAATGCTGTTCGCTAAACAGAAAAGAGTTCTTGAGTTATTACCTATTATTTTTTAAGAACTATGCATCAATTCTAACTCCGATTCTTACATACGTGTATATGTTAGTGGAATTAGAACTCCCAGTAAACAAGGTTTACAACTACTCATCATTAAAATGATTAAACTATTTACAAGTAAAGTTGACTTCTGTTTTTAATTTTGTCTAGAGTCTCTTCAAATAAACTGTCCTTAGACTATCACATTTTTTCATGAGATTCTTTATTTTCTGAAAATGAAGATGAAATTACTTTGAAGGGTTTTTATTACTCATTGCATTTTGCAATTAATTTCAGGGTAAAAATCTTTCTGAGATACGCCGAACTTTACCCGGAGCGGTATTTACACTTGGTACAGCCTTCCGCTTGATTAAACAGTGTATAACTGCTTTGAAATCTCTACATGATGCTGGTTTCCTTCATCGTGATGTTAAGCCATCAAATTTCGCTATTCAACGCGGCGAACCAAGGGAAGGTTCACTTCGGGTAGAAGTTACTTTACTGGATTTTGGTCTTGCAAGACCATATACAGTTAATGGTCCAGGTACTGAGGTACGTAATGCACGACAAGTTGCGGGGTTTCGAGGTACAGTTCGATACGCATCCATTAATGCTCATGCACATCAAGATTTAGCTAGAAGAGATGATTTATGGTCACTTGTTTATATGTTTATTGAATTTGTTTGTGGCCAACTACCTTGGAGACGAATACGAGATAAAGAATTAGTTGGACAAATGAAAATGGCTTTGAATCATAAAGAGTTGGCAATCAAATCTGGTTTACCAGTGGATATTGTTACTGTATGGATAACACATTTAGAACAATTAGAGTATAAAAGTGTGCCAAATTATAATATGCTTATTACTTGCCTAGATGAATGGTTAATACAACATAAAATACAGGAATCTGATTTTTATGACTGGGAAATTCCAAAAACTAACTCACTTACCGATGATACAAAAATCCAACAACCTGGTACAATTACACTTTATAAAGCTGATCACAAAGCAATTTTTTCGGAAAAGTTTAGCCAAAAAGAAGTTAGAGTGCAACAAATAAATAGCCAGGTGAATGTAGAGGACATTGTTGGAAAACAGCACAGTGGGAGAGAAGAGAACAAAGTGAAAGAAGACGAAGATGATGAAGAACAGATTAATAAAATGAATGAAACATTAAAACCAAACACGCTTTTACAAGTGGTGCGTGATAACCAAATGCTGAAGATGAAGTCTTCAATGAATTTAAACAATAGACATTCAGCTAGCCATTGCAATTTAATGACAAATAGTCGTTCAACGGCTGCAGAAATAAGTAAAAAGATTTGCGATGGTAAATTACTGAAACGAAAGAATATATTGAAAAACCATGGTAGTCTAGGTGCTGACTTATCAAGTCATGATGGAGACATGGAGAATGCTATTATTATTGAAGGTGAATGCTCACAGAATAGGCACAATAAATTATCAACAGTCCATAATAGTGCAGACTGTATTTTAATCGACGATGAGCATGAAGATTATGTGAAAGTATTTGCAGAGATGGATCTAGGTGTTGACACAAACGATAAACACTCACTAAGAATATATGAAAATGAAATAAATAACTCGAATAGTACTAAGAATTCATTTGATAATTTTCAAAAGAATGCGACGACAAGTGAAGAGAAAAAAGGTGAAATCTTAGTAACTAAATCTCAGTTACCCGTCACGTCTAATTCATCATTGGTAAACGTAACCAATAATATTGATAGTTATAAAAATGTCGTTGATATTAAAACTGAAAAACCGGTGAAAGAATACTCAAAATTAATTTGTAAGTTTGTTTGTTTATTTGTTAAAAAAATATGACTATCAATTTCACTCTTAGATATATTTAGTAGTTGATTTCATGAGTCGATCGGAGCTAGACCACCCTAGAAAATCTGAAAGTACTGGACAGGTTGGATGTCGGTTCAGTGGTCTAAAGGTTAAGCGCTCGCGCGCGAGGCCCATAGGTTCTGGGTTCAAACCTCGTGAGGCAGGATCTTGGATGCTCCGTGCCGAAGAGTCCCACAATAGAACGAAATGGCCGTCCGGTGCCTCCACGTTTCCCACGGTGGTCTAGATTCAATTGAATCATGAATTCAACTTACAAATTACTGTAATATCCACAAAATCCCTCTCTTAGATAAATTCTTATATTATATTTTTCGCTAAGATTCTACTTTAAAAACTTGTCATTTATTCATTGATAAAGTTGAGTGACACAAATTGCCTCAGTAACTTTATCCCATAAAAAATCTATAATATTAAAAACTAGTTATTTCAGTTGTTGTTATGTATAACTAATACAGATGATATTTTATTCTTCGACGAGATTATAATTTATGGACGAACCAATAACTTATGAGATAACAGGTTTCAGATTTTGGCGCGACGTTCACTCATTCATTCGAATCAATAGAGTTTTGGCATTATAGCTAATGTCAATTCGTAATCAAAACCCTAAATTTAATCCCTAACCATAATCATCAACTGTAAATCATAATTCTAATTCCTCATACTCGTTTACTAACCTCATTTGGTCCTGGTTATTAGTTGAACACGTTAAAGGTTAGTCCAGTGTCACTCAACACATTATCCATAAATTATAGTCTCAATTATTCTTTTCATCAGTAATAGTTATAGTATAATAGTTATAAGTAGGTTTTTCTTTTCAGTTATCCATTAAACATTATGTAATTGGAATTATAGTAAATTGTCAAAATATGTGAGAGGCTTAATTCTACTAAATAATTAAATACAATAATATAAACCCGCAGATTTCTTATTCTTTTTTTATTTATTCTTTCATTACATTGTAAATCATTGTAAACATTTTTTAAAAATATTTTGACAAAAATAAGATTCCAATCCAACTGTGTTCAGGCAGTTAATTGAGGCTGGATTAAACTTATTGACCCCTTAGTTTATTTATTTATTTATCTATAACTGTTTATGATAGATTTTACTAGCAAGTGTGCAAAGTTATCCATTTCTAAGCTTTTTTTAAAAAAAAACTATTAATTAATATCTTTTCTAATAATTAAGGTCAAAGAGGTCAGTTAACAAAGTTATGTTTGTTTCTGTTTTGTTTATAACAAATTTAGCACCAGCATGGATGACTACTTCGAATATATATAGATATAGATATATAGATAGATAAACGTGACTACAAAAGAAAACAATTCAAGTGTAATTCAGTTATTATTCGGTTAGATGCTCCCCTTAGGCAGTTGAATTAAGTTTTGAAGGAATTTCCATAGAGTGCAGACCGTTGGGTATCTTTTATTGATGTAACAATTTCATACAGAAGTCAATTTTTAAAGAGTAGCCGAGTGTTTTTTTATTTTAACAGTTACTCTTAAAGGTCATCTATTACTACTTATTCAATATATGGATAGAACTGATCATAATTGTGTCTCAATAACTTTCATCATTTTCTTAAAAAGAAAAAAAGAATGTTTTCGTAGAATATGAATTCTGGCAGATTTAAAAACAATAGATCAGGAAGAGGTTCGAATATCGCTAGGCGGTATCGTGGATACGCACTACTGAAGAGTCTCACAATAGGACAAAATGGCCGTGAAGTGCTTCCAGGTTTTCCGTAATGGCCCAGCTTCAATTGACTCATAATCTCAACTATTGAAATAGACAAAGAGTTTATGATGAGACATTTTTATTTAAATGGTTAACATTTTATGAAATATATTTCAAATAATGACCAAAGAGTTATGTTTTACTCAAAACTGTTTTTCTGCACTGGACTTTTATCAGAATTATTTTGTCTATCCATTTGTAATAATTTTCATCTGGAAACTTTTATTTAGGTGATTATTTATTTATATATTTTAACGCATAGATATTGGTACAAGGAGGCACCAAATACACATCTCATTCGATATGTGTGAAGGCTGTGATACTGCCCGGGTGCCCAAACCGAAGCAGGTGGTTTTCTTAGGGGGCCACTCCCCGAACCTTTGATCTAAAGGTCTGATCCATAAGGCAGTGGAGCATCGTAAGGAGATGCAGTCCCATGGAAGCCGGTGACCAACAGTTGGTTCATACGCCGTTTGTTCCCGCAGGATACTGGAGCCCATGTACACCATTGGTTTGTGATCCGGTTAAAGCGCTGGACATTCGCTTTTCGTCCTCTCATTTCCGTAAACAACGCCCCCACCACGAGAAGGCAGTGAGTAGGACTTCCCTGGCAGAGGCTATATAAGCGTGGCCATGTGAGAGCATCTCGAGAGGGAGAGCGAACTCTCCCCACTCTCGGCCGTACCAGGGCATTTGGGGGCTATTTAGGTAATTAAACAAGGAGATAAAATATTCTACAGGTAGTGTCACTAAGGTAAATGAAATTTGGTGACCAAATAAGTCTCTATTATAGTAATCTAAATTATTGCCATTAGTTGATATTTAAATATCTTTCATTGAATGTTTATTTAACGCAATGCATTAATAACTAGTTGAATAAAAGAGATGTTGGATCTTACTAAAAAGAACATTGTTTGTAACTTGGAAATTATATTTTAGGGAGCAGGTAAAACTGAAGTTCTTTTTTTCCCTTTGATTTCTAAGCACTGCTCGTTGATTAGTTGAATGTAAAACTGGGCATAAGATGAAAAGAGTTTATAGGGTTACTTTATTGTTTTAGACCGTATATAAGATTCTAAAGGCCATAATCAATGATTGTGCAATATAGTTTGTTCATAAGTCTCCTACAGTTTTGTGTTATCCCGAAGAACAAGATTTACTGCAGAAGTTTCTAGTGTTCATTTATCTTGTGGACTTAACTCTTTAGTATGAACAATAATAAATAATAAGCAATAGTTTCAGGTGAATGAGCATCGGTTTCATGATAAATTCCAAGTTATATTTGATAGTATCCGGTGTAAATAAAACATTTTTTTAAAGAATACATTTGATAGATCAGCTTAATTTGTAGTTTGTTCTTGTTAAGGATTGACATAACTTCAGGCAGCATTAAAAACGAAGAAAGCCGAACCATCAAATTTTAACTCATTATTCTAAAGATAACTATGCTCCTACGAGACTCAGTAGTCTTAAGTTTGTTGGGTAATGAGATCATAATTACGGATGTCTAAGAAACCTCACGCGAAGACTGAATGGGTTTCTAGTGCCCATAGTTTTAATGGCACATTAAATGATGTTACCCCCTGTCAAGAATCACATACAAATCTTCGAAACTCTTGAGGCATTGGACGTCGTATTGTTCTACTTCAGAATGTCTATTAAAAGCATAGTGTGAAAACTAAATAAATGTTTGGTATGCTGTAAGAATAAAAAATCTAGCCACTTGTAGGCCTGTAACCGTTTACGTATTAAACAAATAGTTTTTGATTTTTAGTAGATAATCGTAATTACGATTTTTTTAAAATGTGAAGCAAATTATAAAATATCCGTGTACTATTCATTTCGATATAGATGCAAAACCAATACACAATAATTCAACCGAACAGGATTTTGTCTCAGGCAAAGAAGCTGTTCAATTTATCAAAAACCCATTCATTTCAGGAGCAAATCATAGTACTAAAGAACTAAATCAAAATATTCAAGATGATAAATTGGATGTAGCTGGACAAAGTCTGTTTGCTCCGACCTTCAGCGGAATGAGCTCATCTTCTGTACCACAAACTAGTGATTGTACAACAAATCCTAGAGCAAAAATACATGCTATAATTAAGAATTTACTTGCTGGTCGTCAAAGCAAAGGCAGTGATTCACCTAAATTAAGCGAAACAACTCAAAGATTACCTAATTGGTCCGGACTTGTGAAAACACCAAAAGAATCCAACAAATTTAGTGATACGAATTCCTCGAATTTAGATTTGCGAGTTGGCAATGATGTTGATAAGTCTACCTGTCGATCTAACAAAGCTTCTGTATGTGATCAAACTTCCCCATACTATATTCATTTTTCATTAGGTCATATCAATGCACACGACAATGAACAATATCATAGATTTCTAACCGTGCCCCGTAAGAATCACATCAGTTTGAGCACATTACGTCTTAATCGAACTGGGGAGTCAGTTACGTTCGACAGGTCAAATCCATCTTTTGAAACTAACTTCATACAAGAAAGCAAACACAGTATGACTACTAGTTCAGATCAAATATTAATTGATAATATGGAGAATACCTGTATAACACATAATCTAAATTCCCAGTCGGAGAACCATTACCCAGTTCCACGAAGAAAACGTACACTTTATCTAAATAAGTATCATTCAGAAAAGTTAATTCAACCATCGCAAAATATTTCCATAAAGTCATTAAATATTCCACAGAATAACCATGAAAATTTGATTATGTTAACTAAATCATCATACCAAAACAACCTCCCTTTTGAATTAACCGCCGAAAACTATCGACAAAAGTTAATTGATAACAAACAAAAACACTCGCAGCAAAAATGTATGAATTCAACAAAATTAGTTGGACAAACCATACGTCCTACTTTAGAAACAAGCAAAAATATACACCAAAATCGTAGGAATACTACTAATATGAATAATAACGGTAGTACTGGTAATCTAAGGGACAGTGAAAGCCTAGAGAGAATTAAACATCTTGGTTTGTTAGCTAAGACTTTGGATGTAAAACTGAAGGTTAATAACCCTGACACTACTTCAGCTAATGCAAGCTATGAAAAGTCCATGAATCAACAGACGTTTTTAAGATCAAGTATCAATGGCTCAAAAATAAATCAACCTTCAAAAGGTCAGGTATGTCCATTAAACTATCAGTTGTTATTGTACTCTCATAATATTAAAGAAATGTGTTTTAATAGTTATAATTTGTGCTAATCAATTTTTAACCTAATCAAACACTCATCATTTAATTTTCATGACCGAATGATGAATAAGCATTTCAACTACTGATTAAGTATTCAAGAAAATTATGTGAATGACATGCTATTTTGTATCGACTAGCATATGTTGTTCCATTTCACTGTGCTTATTCATAATCGTACAGAAAATCGATTGACAGATAGAAATTTGCTAAGACCTATAGTTAAAACATCCGATTGATTGTTAATAAGTGAAGGGTTCTTGTAACTGATTGTTTTGTGCTAAAATCCTTCCATTTCATTTTGGCAGGCGAAGTAAATGATTAATTTTAGGGTTTAAACATTCACATCGAAAGTTAGAAAATCATAACTTTTGCTGTCTGTCGTTTACCTTCATTTTTATTTAGAAAGTCGATAGGCAAATATACTTTTATTTCCAATCCAACTAATCTTAAGTATATGTAAATTTCTATTATGCTGATGTCTGAAACATTAAAAACGTTTTCAACTAAGGGCTGGTGCCTGTCTAATTAGCTAAGTGATGAAGATTTTATATTAACTATGTATGATAATAATCCACTTAGTATAACAGTGAAGATTATTTAAACTTAGTTTTGTCAGTCACACTTTTGGTGGTCTATCGATGAAGATGGTAACGAAGTAACCAAATAATATATGTAGGAATTTGAAACAAAAGTGACTTCCATTCATAGCTAAAGAATTACCTGACGTATAAGATGATTGAGAGCCGTTCATTATTTTCTGTCTGTATGGAAACTTTAAAAAAGGATTAGAATATTCCGGAAAATGTTGATTTATGAATTACAAAGTTTAATTAGTCATCAAACAACTTATTAATTTTTTTGTTTTGTTTTAGTCAAAGTGTCTGGCTAGAACATGTTCAGAAATTTCATATGATCCAGAAATGAGCAAATCTCCGGTACAATATGATAATAGACCTAAAAAGCTTATTGGAAAAGATTCAACGATGAATACAAATAGATCAGTTTCACAATCAGTTCAACAAAATTGTCAACAAACAAGTTTAAAATCCTTGAATCTTCATTCTACAGAAAAATTAATCATTCGAAGAAATGATGATATCAGAGAGAAACAAAATATTCAATCTGTTAATTACAGTTATTCACCATTAAAAATAGCAACTAGCTTATTACCATCAGTGTCATCAACGAATTTAACTGACGAAAATCTCATTCAACCAAATAATATTTGTTGCAAATCAATTTATTGTCGACCATCAATAGACAAATCACATCGTCGTCGTTTGAATTCAATTCATATCATACCTTCAGAATTACATCATAGTCAGCAAAAAAATGAACAATTTACTGTTTCTACCTTTAATAATAGTAATGATAATAATAACGGTGGTTCTTCATGTGTTTCTAAAATTAATTTACGGACATTAAGATCTCAATCAGCAGACAGAGTAATAAAACCACGAACAAGTTGTAAAAATACAGTGTTTCAACCATGTTATCCGCTTCAGTCAACTTTACCCAATACTTCATTATCTCGTTCAAAATCAAAACGAACCTTGGGCATCACAATAAGTGATTCTCAGAAAACATGCAAAATTAATTCACTGACACCAGTAAGAAGGCTTTAAATTAATATGTTAGGCTTTCTTCATTGTTTTCTATCTTGATATATATATATATATATATATATATATATATATATATATATATATATATATATATATATATATATATATATATATATATATATATATATATATATATATATATATATATATAAAACATGTGTAACAAGTCTTCCATCCATGATGTCTCAATTAATCGAGTTGATACATATCACTGTGACTTTTTTTTCAATTCAATTTTATATTTTTTATTCACAGAACTAACAAAAATTTCAGGTTAATAATATACATATCTCTTGACTTTTCTTGTTTCTATACACTGAATAGAGAGAGAGATTTATTCAGTATTTATTTACTTATAATTCATAATTGTTTATTTACTTCCATATGGAAATTACTGATGTTTATTGATTTATTTATTTTCAGTGAGGGGAGGAATAGGGTACACATCATTTATGTTTATGCAAAGAAAAGAATATAAGATTGAGAACAATATATATTGATAGTTGAATGATGTATTAGTCTTATTTGTTTTCTTTAAACCTTTTCTATATCTATTTCAATGCTTCATTTCACTTTTATACAGTTAGATAATCTTATTTTTCCTTGTGCTTATTATAAGCATATATATATATATAAACATTTAATTTCGTTGTAAATTATTGCAGAAAACTAAATAGCACAATTGTAAAAAAATACATCTTTTTTTCAAATGGTTTACCACAGACATATCATTATTGGTTACTATGGCAGCCGTATCTCCATGTGCACGTTGGAGGTAAATAATACTTCACACAAAAAATGTCAACAAATACGAAATTTAGATAAATGAAAACAATTTATTAATATATACATATATATATGTTTAGATTTTTTCTCTTTATCAACTCTAAGATTTCTTTCCATAGGATACAATGAAATAGAACTATATTGAACAGTTTCGATAACCTATCTATGAGGTCATTTATGTTTGTTAGATATATCATTATCATCATCATCATTACTGTTCTTTGAATAATTAAAATCAAATGGTTTATTTAATTGTAAAGAATGAACGAATTATTCATTTATTTGTTTCAAACTACAATACAATACCGTTATCATGGTAACGTGTAGTATACATATATATATTGGTTAATTTGTTTGCTTTTTTAACTTTTTTCCTCTCATGTTTTGTTTCATACTCTACATACTTATTACTGATATTCATTTGTTTCTGATTAATATCGTCTAAATATTGAATGATTTTGATATTTCAGTTTAACATCTTGTTTATCTATGTGTAAAGTATTTTGATTTTAAACTATACAGAAATGATCTTTGACAAAGAGTTCGTTGGTTTTCTTTTCATTATTTTTTTTTGCTTTTTGATTTCTTCTGTATAACAATATATGTTAAACATAAAACGACCCTGTGATGATTTTATTGAACAATTTAACTTTAATATTCTTCTTTTTTTAATGATAAAAAGAAAATTGAATTACTTTCTGTTTACTTGAGTCATTTAGTTAAAACAAAATATTTGGTTTATTCTTCTCAATACTTAAAATAAAACAAGGGGTAGAGCTGTGGGTTGTTTTCAATTAGTTCAACTATTTTCTATAGATTTATTGTACATATACATTTGTATTCTGTTAATAAGTAACTTGAAAGAAAACTGAATACTTATCTTGTACATGTAGCACATTATTCCGATGGAGTTTTGTAGATGATTATGTAACAATCTAATATGCTTATCAACTAATTTCATATTTGAACATGTAACAAGATGATCGTATAATTGATTCCGTAACCCTAACCCTAACCATTTACTTTATATAAATAAATGATTGAATAAAACTATTGATAATCTTGTTTCTTCCATATTATGATTGTTTTTAAAAAAAAATGATAAAATGAACATTTAAATTTCAACCCTTTACGTTTTACAAATATTACTAATAACTCAAAATCAGTATTTTATTGTTCATATCATAACGTTACATAAATATAAACTGAAATTAATAAAACTACTACTACTTCTCTTCATTAATGAGTTCCAATAATAAATGCCAATTAGTGAACAGTCAATTATCAACCGGACCAATGATGCATAAACCCATACGAGCAGTCTAGAGTCTCTATAGGTCCTTCTTCCTGCCTAGCTTTCCTACTGAACCCGAAACATCAATCTCAGCTTTCGCGATACAAATAGTGTATTTCACACATGCTGGGTTTATATACAAACTAAACAAACCATATCGTACCATAAAATAGTAAATGATATTTGTACAAGATCTAGTCAAAAAGTGGCTGTGATCATGGGAAACTGTAATCAATAAGCTGAGTATCATCTAAGAATAGTAAATCCCATAATAATAATAGTTTATAAGTTAAAATAAGGCTTGTAATAAGAAGAGTATAGATATAGATAATCTAGTTACTGAATAGTTATACAATAAGATTATCCATATAATATTTGTCTATAAATAATTCTCAAAAGTTACCATTCATAATTCTCTTCGGGATGTATCACTAACCTTTCACAAACGTGTTTAAAAACATATACGACTATCTTACATAATTTTTCAGATAAAATATACAGACGATAATTTATTGTAATACTTTTTTGTTAGAAAGGAAAGATGTAGCTAGGAGGTTTCAACAAACTGACCGTATGAAAACAAGCATCTGAAATTTTACTGTTAATTTTTAATATTGAAATACACTTTAAGCTAAAAACAGTCCATTTAGTGAAAAGTCATAAACTTATTACTACATAGCGCTTTCCAGTTGGGCAGCTGTTTAGTATGTATTGTACTATTTGACCATTTATTAGCATATAAGAACAGCTGAATCAAATCTAGCTTGAGTTTGGTCATAGTAAATAGAATGATAGCTCTGAGATAATAGATTTTATATTGGTGCAGAAAGTTTAACCATCATGATGACGAATAAAACATTAGAATATGATAAAGTGATACAACTATACAGTGTTTATAATCTCTGATGATTATTTCAATACTGAACAATGGACAAAATAATAGATCTCAGTTTGGAATGGGCAGTACATTTGAATGTCACGTTGTGCCTCTTAAATAACATGTTACGCGTAAAAAAGAAGTAAATATACTTACTTCTACTACCCATAGTGGAGCAGAGGATGCCAACCAGGATTCTAAAACTAACACAGTCCTGGGCACTCCCTTCCATCTATTTCCAAGTGTTATTTCCAACGCAATGTGTTACTAGGTTTTCCTCTTTTCCTTTAGCCTTCAGGATTTAAAGTTAATTCTTGCCTCATGATGCAGTTTGATGATTTCCGAAATGTTAGTCCTATCCGTCTCCAGCGTTTTTTCCTAATTTCATTCGGAGGTTGGTTTGTTCTTTCCCACAGTACGCTGTTGCTGATAGTATCCGGCCAACGGACATTCAGTATCTTATGTACATAACTGATCATAATTTCTTTTTTCTTTTATTATTGGTCGTTTTAATAGTTCTCCAGGTTTCAGCTTAGTACAATAGAACTGTCTTGACGTTTGTAATGAAGACCCTGTATTTGATCTTGGCTGACAGTTGTTTTCTGACTGTAGGGATGCTTCCATTCCTTTACCCATCTGTGCTTTCACATCTGTATCAGATCCCCTTTGCTTATCAATGATGCTACCCAGGTAACTAAAAGTTTCCACCTCTTCCAAGGCTTTCCCATCAAGTGTGATTTGATTGGTGCTCTCCGTGTTGTATTTCAGAATCCTGGCTTTTCCCTTCTGTATGTTGAGGTCAACTACTGTAGATAGAATCTGATGTTACACCGGTTGTCTATACCTGGATTTGTTGATGTATGTGGAATAGAATAGCTAAGTCATCTGTGAAGTCCGAATTGCCTAGTTGCATCCAAACTGTCCATTGTATTTCGTGCTTCCCCTCAGATTTGAACGTCTTCATAATGCAATCGACCACCACAAATAGGAGAAAGGACAAGAGTAAGCAGCATTTTCTGAAACCACTCTTCAGTTAGAATCGATCTGTGAGCTGCCCTCTTGCACGAATTTGCAATGTAGTCCGTCGTGTGAATTCCGGATGATGTCGACGACTTTCTCAGATATACCATAATATAAATGAAGGTTCTGACTGTCTGTCCTGGTTTACAGTCTTTCCTTGCCAGTTTTTCTTCGTTGTATTATATAGCTGTCTCAAATTTACTTCTCTTACAACATTTTACGATTCCATTACTAGCTCTTTGACTTAGTTCTGCTTGTCGGCTGTAATGCACCTTTTCTGTATTTTTTTTCATCTATGTATTAGGTCTGTGCTCTTGCCTTCTCTGCTCTTGTTCGACCATTGTTAATTATTGTCTTCTTTTCCTTCCATTCTTGAATCTTGTCCAGGGTCTCGACAGAAATTCACTACTTATGATGATGCATCTTGCGGTCCAGAAAGTTCTGACACGTTAAAGTTGATGCTTCTTTGATCTCTTTACAGTTTTCCTCCGTCGTACTTTCTTCTTCTCTAAGTAGATCCTGTAAAGGTTGGAACGTGTTGTTGAGAGCTATCCTGAATTTGTTGAGTTTGTTAGTATATCGAAGGAGGGTTGTATTTAACCTTTTTAATTCTGCTTGTCCAGCTGTTCAATGCTTCTTTAGCTTCAGTAAACGTGATTGATCTGGTTCTCTGTAGTGTAGCCCAGTGAAACGCACGTAGCTTTAATTATGAGTTTGTAGGGGAATATATTGCGACGTTCAACCGATTTGTTGAATGCACATAGAGTTGCAAATCTTTCACCATCCTCGTTTCTCTCTCACAGTTTTTATCACCCCATGATATCTTCATAACAGTTGTCCATTCCAACTTTGGCGTTTAGATCTCCCATTACGATGATCAAGTCATTTCCTGAGTACTTCGCTATGACTGATTGCAGCCACTCTTAGAACTGATCGTTATTGTCATCGCTGCCATCTTTCGTGGGTGCGTAACATTGGATAACATCCAATCTGATTCCCACTTTCTTTGTTTTGAAGGATGCTTTAATGATCCTGGGTCCACATGTTACATTATTGAAAAG